CCCCACTCCCAGCTCTCCACCTCCCCTTCCACCCCCGACCCATACCCCACCTGTCACGTATTTGTTGTTGTTTTGTCTCCAGAATCACGTGTGCACAGCTTCCAGTGGAGGGGAGATTATGAAGTTTGACTTGACTCCCAAAAAATATGAGGATGATGACAAAAAGCCAACGGTCATTTTCAAATCACAATACTCGGTAAGGATCTTCATTTTCTTTTTATCTTTGATTCTTAGAGGATGAAAGCAACAATCTTTGTGTGAAAAAGATGTGTCCTTCTTTCAGGCAGGTAGTGATTTTTATTTTACACATCTTTCTACACTGGCCTGATTTAAGTGGTCTTTCCTTGTTTAGCAAGACTGATCTGAGCAAGGGCTATATCATCATCCTCCAGTGCAAAAATCACATGAACAAAAAGTGTACTTCAAACCTTCGGGGTTATTTAAAAAAAACAGAAATGCATCTTCACCGCAATTCCATGCTGATCACCTTTGTAAATACATTCATTCTCCACCTTTTTCGCTTTCCCGTGCCAGATCTTCAGCCTGCAGTGCAACTGATTTTTATGTTTTTGACTGTTTTTCCTACTTCATAGGGCCCCTTGCCTTCAGGAAGGCGCCTTCTGATTTCGAAGGTAGTAAATCAATTTATCTACTGTTTCTCACTAGAATGAGGAAAACAAGGCGAACATTACTAAGCAAGACCTGTTGGCTCAGCTGCTGCGTCAACATGAGCACCCGATCATTTGCATGGGGTTTGTAGGCAACATTGGGAAGATGGTAACTGTGGACAACCAGGGCTTCATCAACATCTGGAAGTTGGACAAGTAAGGCGAAAGAGAGAGAGATAGAAAGAGGGAGAGAGAGGAGGCGAAAAACAGAAAGAGGGAGAGTGAGAGAAAGAGAGAGAGAAAGAGGGAGAGGGAGAGAAAGAGAGAGAGAGGGGGAGGGAGAGAAAGAGAGAGAGAGAGAGAGAGAGGGGGAGAGAGAGAGAGGGAGAGAGAGAGAGGAAGGAGGAGGAAGGAGGGAAAGAGAAAAACAGGGGCCTGAAGAGAGAGACAGAGAGAGACAGAGAGAGAGAGAGGTAGAGGGAGAGGGCTGGACAGACAAAAAATCTCAAAAGATTATACTTTTTTTCATAATTTGATTTATATTGTATTGTCTTTTTGCAGCAAAGAAATGACTTTATTTCAGTTATATGTATTCTGTATTTCCTTTTAGACTGATGTTAAAGAATTTTTAGAGTATTGGTCTCTAATTGCTTATAGCTTTGTTTTTCTCCAGCAAAAGTGTCGAACAGTAAGAAAATTTATTATGCAATAGCCATTATTTTGTTCTGCTCCATTGGAGCTAGCCTAAAAGTACTTTTTTTTCTTTTTAGATATAATAGATTTTTTTCTTCATTTCTAGTTTGATTTCTTATGTGCATAGTTTATGCTTGTCAGAAGTAGAAAAGTGATGTGGAGTTTTTATCTGTAACATTTACTGAAATAAATGACTAGCATTTCATGTGCTGTACTGTTTTATAATACTTCAGATAGATAACTAGATGTTAGACATACGTGTCATGACACGGGTGGAGTCAGGCGCTCGTCTATTTTTGGGCATATGGAGTTATTGTATCAGCTGAAAGTTTATTAATTTGCCTTGGTTTTTAAAAAAAATTATCCATTTAGCTTGTAAAAATAGAAGTCAAGATGTTTGCGATTGAAGAAGGTGGGGCAGCCTGGTTTCAGTTGTTAAATTAATGAGAAAATGGCAACCCAAGTTTGGTAACTTCAATAGATTAAGAGTCCTGGAAAACCGAAAATTACATATTTTGTAGGCCTACCTTTAAACAAGGTTTTTCTGTAAAATTCACATGGAAATGAATTTTCTTATGAACACAAAAGGTGTTTAGCGAAAAAACAAAATTCCGATAAAAATTGCCTTTTCCTTCGATTTCGCTATTTGGACGAGCGCCTGATTTTACCATGATGCCACACATATGTTTTTCCTATTGGTCATACTTTAAAAATAAACTTTAGCCCTTCATCTAGAACTTGCTTGACCAAGTGCACTCATCTGAGCTCTCATTTCTCTGCAGGCCACTTGTAGATTATCATTACATTATTGAAAACAAAGCTTTTAACTTGTTTTAAGTATGGGGGGTACAAAATGATTGTTTGCGGTCAGACTTCGGAGTAAAGATGAGTGAGGTATGCCCCTCCTGTAGACAAACAGTTTCTTCAATTGCTACTGTATTTGTGTCACAATATAAGCCTACATGTGGGGAAAAAGAGAGAAATTAAAAACTTTTAGTATTCTTCAACTGCTTTTGTGTTTAAGGATTTATCTTTCTGCACATTGTGAAAATATTGATAATTTTCTACTTGTGTATTTTGAAAACTACTCAGATGTAATGCAGAAGGTTTGTCAGGCCTTAGAGTCAAGTGTAATCTTTAGGTAAAATGCCGCAGCTTTGTTCAATAAGATGAGTAATTACGACCGATCTGATATATAT